GGATAACAAAGCTTTTACTGTACATACATGTGTATAGTATGTATCAGTTGAACACAATGTTGTATTAATATATTTACAATTTTAAAGCAGTTTGGAAGCCTATCAGTGCCTCAATCATTATAATACGTTCTAAATACCTATAAATGTTGACATTTGATTTTTATTTTTATTTTTTTGGGGGAGTGGAGGGGAGGGGCTGAGGTTTTTTATCATGGGAAATCAGAGCTCCCCCTGCCTCCTTTGCTCACTAGGATGCAGATCCAGCTGTGGCTATCCTTCCCTTCCCCTCCCCTCCCCTCCACTGCTTTCTGGTGCTGAGCAGCCCTGATAAGTCAGTGGCCTCCCCCTGCCCCCAGTATGTGAACAAGGGAGTGAGTGTGTGGGAAAGGGGGGTATGGGCACAGTAAATTTGTGGGACGGGGGGCACATGTCACCTGAGATTTTCTGTACCCACAATGAGGCATGCAGGCTGCAGCAGGGCTGGACCAGCTTCAGACAGGAGCTGCCTCTGCAGCCTAATGGGTGGGACCTGGCTCGGGAGGGAATGCAATGCTGCTATGGTCGCCAAGGTGAGGTACCCCCTGTCTGCCCATCAGCAGTGGGAGTGCACCTCTGCCATTGCCATGCCTCACCTTGGCCATGGCGGCGCAGCGCTCCCTCCCTCCCATGCAGGGTCCTGTGTGCTGGGCTGCGGAGGTAGCTCCTCTGGAGTTGACCTGGCCCAGCTGCAGCCCTGCTGTGTGCAAAAATCTTGGGAGGCACATATCCCCCTCGCCCCTCAGTGTGTAGCCTGTGCCCCTGCACCCGTAGAGTTACCTGTAGGGAGCTCAGGAGCTGCTTTCCGTTGCTTCTTGGCTTCCATGTGCATGCGTGAGAGTGCATATGCACATGGTGCCCCCTGCCTCTCAGCTCCAAGCAGCACCATGTAGACTAGAACTCTACCAGCCTGCAAAGGGAACCCACCATTTCCCATGGTTTTCTCCTTTTAAAGGAGAAAATCCATGGTTTTCTCTCTTTTAAAAGAGAAAATATGTGGGTTTCTCAGTTTAAAGGAGAAAATTGTGGTTTTCCACAGCAAACGGAAACCCAGAT